CACACAGGATCCTGGGACTGCTGGGGGTCAGCTGGGTGACAGGTACTGTGGTGCATGCACCCGAGTGTAGCCCTCTCTTGGGGCATCACACCACCCATCCAGGCAGATGGCTCCAAGCGCCTACTCCTGGTGGATACAGAGGATGGTGGGAGTCCACGCTGAGAGCTGATTGGCCCTGTGAGGCCCTGTCGCACGTCCTCATAACTAATGGCCCCCGAGCAGGTCCCTGCTCTCCAAGATGCTCTGTGTTCCTCTTCCTGACACACTCATTTAATTTTTAACTCACAAGGCATTTGCTTATTTATTTTCATTGTTCTTGATAATAATTCTAAGCCATTAGAGGGGAAAATTATATTCAAAAATGCTGTTTCACACTTTATTTGTTTGATGATTTAGAGCGATAGAAAGTAGCACATTTGCTGGCTTTTATAGTCTGATAATTATTCACATCCATCAAGCCATTCCAGGGGAATAAACAAAACACCGAGAAAATGACACTATTAATAGCATCCTCCTTGGCGGACAGGAGACTTCCCCGGCCGTGTTGGTGAAATGGAGGCTGCCTGTCCCCTGGCTGAGGCGAGCAGCCCTGCCCACAGAGGACACGTTTCCTTGTAATCACCTGGCTCCGCCAAAAGCCACCTGGCCAACCTGCTGAGGCCTCCACCTACCCAGCACCCATGATGCACCCAATGTCACAAGCCCTGGAATTTCTTTATTGGTCCCCTGTCGTCTGCCATGACCTGCACTGGCAGAGGCCCCTAAGGTACAGGGCCTTGAGGTGTCCCCAAGCCACTGGCCTGGACTCAGGCCTGGCCTCAGCGGGCCTGGCGAGAGGTCTTATCCTCTGGCCTCAGGGTTAAACCAGGAACATTGGGCCAAATGACGCTCCTCTCTAGTGTCCAGTCTTTCTAATATGTTCCCGAACCCAGTAAACGGGTCAGACTCTCAAACATGTAGGTGGGTCTGTTGGTTGGTCCATCGTTTGAACTGTGAAACTGCTGGACTGTTGTTTCTTAACCATCATGTGGCTTTTGGGGGGCCTTGAGTCCTCATGGGGACCCGGTTTCTGGGCTCCTCTATTTCCTGTTGCATCTCGTGAGCTTTATTCCTAGTCTGAAAACATGTTATTTTCTCACCGAAGCCCCTGCTATTTGCAGACAGCTGCCTTTCTGACAACGGTGTCTGGCAAACGACGCCCGGTTTGTCTCTCTTGGCCTCTTCCGTGCTTCCACGACATTAAAGCAGGGTTATGGAGCCTGTCAAGTCCTGCTGCAGCCCCTGCAGGGTTACCTGATGGTTGCCAGGATACCGTTCTGACCATGCAGCCAAAGATATGAACCAAATTTTCTGTGACGTTCTGGTTTAGAGTGGTCCAGATGTACTTTGTGTCAAAAAAGCTTTAAAAGCAGAGAGAAAGTAGGGAGGGGTTTTAAAATACGGAGATAAAGACACAGGTGGATGGGGCATAGCTCTGGAGAAAGTTCCGGAAGGGCAATTCTGGCCTGGCTGACCTCAGGGCTGGGACTTGCCTTGTGTCCAAAGTGGTGGCCAACATGTCCTCTAGGAGGTGCCTGCTGTGACTGCCCTCAGCCACTGTCTTAGAGCCAGGCTCCCACAGGCAGGGCTGGGGACTGTGGCCCGAGGGACCTGGGTGACGCTGCACAGGTAGCCTGAACCTCCCCCTATTTCTGCCTCTACCTCTAAAGCCCCTGCTCGCTTCTCCCTTGCACTCTGCCCTGTTCCTTTCTCCTCACATCTCCAGATTGTGCCAGCATGACTGTGTGCTGGGCCGCAGTCTCTCCATGCCCTCCCACTGGCCTAGGGAGTTGACTGCCCAGAAGGGCCCAGTAGATGCTACTTGTCCTGGAAGGGGAAGCAGGTTGACTGAAGCACGTGGCCAGCCCTGGAGGACGCATGAGGGCCTATGTGTAGCAGGGCATGAGGGGCACCAGCCTCGCTGGAGAGGCTGGGGAAGAGCGCTTGTGCTGGTGGAGAGTGGGCTTGGGGAGCCAGGAGAGGTTCCGAGCAGCATTGGGGCTGAGCTGGAAGAGGGAGAGAGGCTGGAGACTCCGCCCTAGCCCAGTCCTGAGACAAACAGGTAGTCAGGACAGGTGAGGCCAGAGCTCCCATGGCCTTCTGTCCAAGGAAACCACATAAGAACCCGCTGTCACATATAGAGAGAGGCTGCCTGGGGTTGCAGCTGGCAAAACTGATTGGTTTGGCCCTGAGGTGTGACCTTGTGGTGGGGACAGATCTCTTGGGGAGTGAGACAAACTGTCCCCATGTTGGTGACCAATATACTGACTCCGTTTTATGGCCCCGAGAACTCGCTCACTAATGTCCAGACAGATGCTCCCTGCCTTGAGGGTTAGCGAACACACTCGCTCAGCTCCAATAGCTGCTTCTCCTTCTTTCCCTTTTTTTTCCTTTTAGAGCCAAACCTGAGAGTCTGGACACCCTGATCTGGGCATGAGACTGGGTGGGACTGTGACAAGGATACCATGCACAGGGCTTCTTGGGGGCCCCAGGTGGGACCCCCACAAGGCTTTGGGGTCCCCACAGGGTCCTGGGGACTTCTCTCCAGTGGCAGATGTCAGTCTCTGTTGGAAGGCAGCTCTGTGACTGGCTCACTGGGGCCCCTATGGCATCGGGCTCACCGGGGCCCCCAAAAGGTCAAACCTGGTGGGAAAGGGCCCAGTGGGAACCTGTGGCCCACAGTTCTGGAGTTTCTTCCAGCCATTGGAAGGCCGCAGGACTCGGCTGTGGTCCAGAGGCTATGCCAGGGGTCCTCAAACTTTTTAAACGGGGCCAGTTCACTGTCCCTCAGACCTTTGGAGGGCCGGACTATAGTTTTAAAAAAAACTGAACAAATTCCTATGCACACTGCACATATCTTATTTTGAAGTAAAAAAAACAAAACGGGAACAAATACAATATTTATATTTGCATGTGGCCCGCGGGCCGTAGTTTGAGGACCCCTGGGCTATGGAGTCTTTACTGTCCCCCTCCCCTTCCTCCTTCGACCGGCTCATCTTCAGTGCTCTGTGTTGTTAAGGACCCTTGCCCCAGTTGTACCTGCCTTCCTCTGAAAACAGGTTTTCATCTTGCCATGTCCCAGGGGCTTGGGCTGGCATGGCGTGTCATTGGCAGTGCGGCTTCTTGGCACCACTGAAGTTGCCACTGAATTGGTCCAAATGGTGGGAGGCACTACTGGCTCTGGGACATTGGAGCCAGCAGGCCCCATGGCGCCGGCTCCCCTTCCTGGAGTCTTTCTAATCTCCCCAAGGGCTGCTCTCCTGAACGCTCAGCCTAGTGTCCTGCCGTCTGTACTTTCTGATAACAGAGGAGCCACGTTCCAATGTATTAAACTTTTAACATCCACCAGACTCAATTAATCTTATCTTTACAACTCCCAATTACAGGCGGTAATTAAGTGAAAGCAGCATTGTAGACTGGGGATACTGCATTAATCATCACAGCCTTGGTGCCAGAGTTAGTCCTTCCAGTCTGCTGGCGTCTTCCCAGAAGGGACAGAATGTTTCATTTCCCCATTTTGGGGGGGACAGTAATCCCCCAAAGATGCTTCAGATTGGGGTTAACTTTTACCGTCTTTGTGTAAGCGATAAAAGGCCATTTTAAAAAGCGTAACTTCATCTTTGTACAGATGATGGAAAATTATCTGACAGCAACAGAATTGAAGGTGCTGGGGCCATCTTCTCAAGGGCCCCAGAGTGCCCAGAAATTAATTATTTTTATCCTTTAGATTAGAGACAACACAATACTCACTTACTCCTACCCCCGCCCCCTTTTATTTGATTAAAAAGGAATAATAGACCTCTCAGTTGGAATAGACTTAACCAGCTACAGCATCTGGGCGATCTTCCATGTTCCCTGTGGGTACCCATCCTTTGCCTGCACCATGAGGGAGGGAGGAGGGAGCGGCCCGATGATGCATCTTCACATTTGACTCATTCCAGAATGTGAGATAGTGGCCTTTTTTATTCTGTCCTCCTCGGGGTCTGTCCTTCTCAGCACTATCTGGTGCCCTATCGTTCTCTTGGGGGGCAGCCCTGGGCACTGTGGGGGGCTGTGCAGCATCCCTGGCCCCCAGCCACTCTATGCCAGGAGCACCCCTAGTCATGACAGCCATGGGGACATGGCCCAGTGTGCTGGGGGGGGGGGGGGGGGGGCAGGGAACAGGATCACTCTGGTTGCAACCCATTTTCCTGGAGTCCCTCCTAGATGGGACTTGGGTGTGCTCAGCACTTTGTGTCATTAGAACTTGCAGTTCTGCCTGCATTTGTCCAGAAATTGAAGTTTTCATCTTACCAAGTCCCCTGACGTGGGCTGAGGCTGGCATGTCAGTTGGGTTGGGGCTTCTCAGTACCACTGTATTATCCGCCCCCCCCCCCCCACATCCTCTTGTTCTGCCAGCTTCCTCACATAGCATCAGCGGGATGTCATTCTCGCTTCATTTGTTTGTAAGCTTCCACCGCACGTTTTTAAATTTTTGATGGAGCCCTATATGTAAAATGAGTAAAATTAAAGCTTGTGAAGTGGGTGACAGGTGAAATTTTTCTCCTCCCTGAAGCCTCTTTCCACCTTGGCCCCTGGGCCCGGCAGGGCAGGCTGGCGACACAAGGCAGCCAGGGTTCCCACCCCTCCAGCTCCAGTCCAGTGCTTTTATTGTATTTTTTGCTTTGTAAGCCTGATCGAGGTTTAGTGTCGCTTAGGGAATGTCTGCACTCCTGGCATTCAAGAGTGCTGTCACACCCCCTGGGTCCCTGGTCTGTAGCCCTTCTGCCTCACCAACCCCTTCCGTGTGGAATTCCTTCCCTGACAGCGCCACTCCCCTCACAGCGCTGACCACAGCTACAGTCACACGTCTGCTCTGTGCATGAGCTGTGTGTCTCTCCGAGGCCACACAGGCTCCCCGGGGACTCTCAAGTGTGTGGTGGCCACAAGAGCTCACTTCTGACATGCCTTCCTTCTTGTAGGTACGCCATCCCACCGGAGCATGGCAAGCGCCTGGAGCGACTGGCAATTGGTAGGTGTCTGCGACCAAGAGCTGGGGGTCTGGGACCTGGGACCTGGGGCCTGGGCAGGGCGAGGTGGGGTAGGGGGGGTAGGGGGGTAGGGGGTAGGAGGAGGAGAGAGGGAGGTGGAGGGGGTGGGGAGGGGGGTGGTGGGAGAGGGGGGGTGGTGGGGGAGGGGAAGAGGGAGTTGGGGGAGGGGGGAGGGGGGAGGGAGGCAGCGGGTGGGGGGAAGTGGGGGAGGGGAGGAGGGAGGCAGCAGTCATCCCTCCCAGTTTTGTTGTGTGTCTGGGCTTGAATTCCTGGGAGTTGTAAGAAGTCACTGTCTTATTTTACCATTTTCTTGCACCGCTGTGATTAGATCCGTGGTCCATCTGCTAGGGGGTTTGTCACTTCATGGATTCTGCACAGAATGCCATTGCTTTAAACGCCCTTGTTTTCCGGTTTCTTAGCATGGAATTCTTGGATGTGACCACAGGCTCCCGAGGGCCAGGAGAGCAGCTGTGTTCTGTCTCCCTCCCCCGACGCCTGGCACTGCATCTTGCCCTCTTCTAAGTCTTCAGGCCTCTGTTCAGCCTGGAAATGAGACGTTAGTTAGGAGCACCCTCACCGGGCCTCAGAGTGCATGGTGGCCACAGGTCCCTACCCTTCTGTGCGGGGTTCTGACTCGCCTGGGCTCCCTCATTAAATGTCCCTTCCAGCAGCCACTGTCTCACCATCTGTATTTGGATCCTTGCTGGGGCCTCATGGGGCCAATGGATTTGTCTGAGGGGGGTCCCAGGCCATGTCTGGAGAGGGGGCACCCTTCATGGCACCCTGTTTCTGTCCCAACGGGGTCTGGCCCTTGCTTGTCATCTGGAGAGCCAGCCCCTCCCTCAAAGGCAGCACTCAGGCCTGGGTGGGGTGATTGTTTGGGAGCCACTCCAACATCACAGGGCCCATCTGATCATCCTGACCCTCTGGGTTGCAGTGACAGGCAGCCCAGCCCTCCCAAAGCAGCCATAGAGCCTTCTGGAAGCCATCGCTCAACATTGGTGCAGGCTCTCTCACTGCCGGCCACAGTCCTCTGGCCCCTCCTCACACCTCACCAAAAATTCCCATTACACTCTCTTCCTCTTCGCATTGATGTTTTGACTTTGGAGATGGGAATGGTGGATCTTTCTGAAAAATAGGGGCCCCTGTCCTAGCTGCACTCACAGCTGTGTGCCTGCTCAGCAAATACTACATGCCAGTGACACAGATCCTGAGAACGGAGGAAGGGTGAGTGGGTAGGTGCCCCAGCCTCCCAGGCGGAGGGTGGTGGTTTGTTTAACATTTCTGTTGGAGACCTGAAGCTGTCCTCATGGGAAGAGCTGCGCCCTGCTCTCCAGAACATGCTCTCATGGTAGAAATGCCACAGTTGCACACAGCCCTAGTCAAGGTCTATTTCACTTATTGTGCTCTAAAATAAAAACCAGATTTAAAATGTTTTCCCATTGCATTTTTTAAAATAGACATTTAAAATACATTTTTTAAATCCTCATCTGAGGATATTTTTTTTTATTGATTTTTAGAGAGAAAGAGAGAGAGAGAGAAACATTGGTTTGAGAGAGAAACATGGGGATTTGTTGCCTTTCGTACATGCCCCAACTAGGGTTGCGCCCCAACTGGGAATCAAACCCACGACCTAGGTATATGCTCTGACTGGAATTGACTCCGCAACCTTTTGATTCATGGCACAACTCTCCAACTGAGCCATCTGGCCAGGGCTAAAATATAAATTTTAATTTAAGAATATAAATTTAAAAATTCTTTTCCCATTATGTTAGTTTATTCTTGCTGTTATAAAAAGTTATCACAAGCACAGTGACTTAAAACAATACAAATTCTCTCAAACTTTCTGTAAATCTTAAATTTCTCTTTTAAAAGTTCTAATTAAAAACAAACAACCCCACAGATTCATTTCCTCGAAGTTCTGGAGATCAGGAGTCCAAAATGAACCTTTTGGAGCTAAAACCCAGGTGTGGGCAGGCCTGGACCTTCCTGAGTTTCCAGGGAGAATAGTTTCCAGCTTTTTCCAGCTTCTAGAGGTGCCTCATCTCAGGCTCATGGCCCCTTCCTCCATCTTCACAGGCAGCAGCTCAGCCCCTTGCCTCTTCACTCTGACCCTCCTGAGCAGCGGTCGCCAACCTTTCGGACCTCATGGACCACCAGTGGTCTGCGGACCACCAGTTGGCGACCGCTGCTCCTGAGAACCTCTTATGAGGACCCTGTGATGACATTGGCTCTCTGGGAAATCTAGGGTCATCCCCATCTCAGGGGCTTTAACTTAATCCCATCTGCAGAGTCCCTCTTGCCAGAGAAGGGAACATATCACAGGTTCTGGGGATTAGGACACAGGCATCGTGGGTGGCCGCTGTTCCGCCTCCCACACCTACAGAGCCACAGGAGAAAACATCCCGGGCAGTCAGCACGGACATGCTCTGGTGAACACATGGCTGATATCACCTGACCCTCGCCAATAACTTCTCTAAAATTCAGCAGTTAGCCACACCCGGACTGTTGTCGTTCAATGTGCCTTTTCTACTAGAAAAGTTTCGGATGATCTGAGTGCAAGCTGGAGAACCTAGGTACGCTCTGGGGCCACCTGCCTATCCCGATGGTACTTCCCCTAGAACTTGGCTGTGCTTCCTGCACCATTCCTACAGCCAGGGCCTTGCTGTCCCTGTAGTTTCTGACCCTTGAGGTTGAGGTAGGGGCGGGAGGACCTGTATGGCTGGCAGGAAGCTTATTGGCTGGGGCTGGAAGAGGAAGAGTGAGCAAGCTCTGAAGTCTACGGGAGGCCACCCATCACTGCTTTTTGAAAAATAGGGATTCATTAAGTCACTCCTCAGCAGGGTGGCTGGAATTTGAGAAGCTGGGCTTTTGGCACTGGAGGAGGGTCCGGAAGCTGTGGTGAGGCCTTCCTCCATGGCCCCTCACTCAGGCCTGCTCTCCCCTCCTCTGAGAAAGGACAGAGAGTTCCAGGACACTTGAAGCCTGCCCCCTTCAGTGCCTCTTTCAAACTTTGTTGGGGGCAGGCATCTCCGACTCCATTGTTGAGATGGGTGGAATGAGTTTGTGATTAATATGGAAAATGAATAGCTGCACTCCAAATGGGCTCACTGGGAGAGTTGTGGAGCCCACAGAGCATTAATGTGTTGGCGCATTATTGGTGCTAATCACTTAAAATGTGTGCCTTTATTAGAGCTTTAATGAGAGCCACTTAAACTGTGCATTAAAAAGAGGAACTGCAGAGAGGCCGGCGGGCCAGGCGGCAGGCAGCCATAACTCTAATTGAAATGCTTTTAGTGCAGAGGAAAGTTGCAGGATTCAGTAATCTTTTGCACTTTCTAGAACCTTGCCATTGTGTCCTTTCAGCCAGGCGCCATCTCCCAGCATGGAAAGTGTCAAAGCCCCTTCTCCCCAAGTCAGCGTGGGCATGTGCTTGCACACACATGTGCGCATCCACATGTGAATGTGCCCTCTCTGATCAATGACCTATCAAGAGTGTGTATCAAGGCCTGGGTCAGCTTCCAGAAGGGTCACTGGGCTGACTGTGCCACAGGGTCAGTCCTGGAGGGCAGTGGGTACTCCTGGGTACATCCCACACCTCATCCTCACCGAATCCTCATGGCAGCCCTTCCTTGCCACTCTCGGTGATGATTTGCGATGAGACCAGCTGCCTTCTGGTGGAATTGCAGACCTTCAGGTGGAATTCCAGAACTTGCCCAGAAATCAGGATTTTAAAAAGATTCCCATGTGATTCTAATGTGCAGCCAAGGTTGAGAACCACTGCTTTAACCACAGGATGCAGCTGTTACTGGTTTAAGATTCAGCCAGCAAGTGGTTTGGAAGTGTCCCTGAGCTGTGTTAAACACGGTTTCTGAGCAGGTAGAGCTGATGGCCGAGTTCCACATGTTTATAAATATTACCTTAGGTTAGTTACACGGCATCTAATCTAATAAAAGAGAAACATGCAAATTGACCACACCTCCGCTACACCTAAGCCACGCCCACCAGCCAATCAGAGCAACTATATGCAAATTAACCCAACCAAGATGGTGGCCGGCAGCCATGGAGCTGGAGCAAGCAGGAGGCTTGGTTGCCCTGGCAATGGAGGAAGCCAAGCTTCCCACCTGCCCTGGCCGGCTGTGGCCTCCGCTTAAGGCAACAAAATTTCAATTACAGAAGATAAATAAATCCTAGCTACCTGCTTCCAGCCAGCCCCCACTGGGAGTTTGGGTGGTTGGGGGCCATGGCCAGCCTGCAAACAGCCCTCAGCCCCTCACCCAGGCTGGCCAGGCACCCCAGCGGGACACCCTTCAGGGCAAACCAGCCAGCCCTCACCCATGCACCAGGCCTCTATCCTATATAATAAAAGGGTAATATGCAAATTGACCCTAACAGCAGAATGACTGGGAAAGAGTGGTCACTATGACACACACTGACCACCAGGGGGCAGACGCTCAATGCAGGAGCTGCCCCCTGGTGGTCAGTGCGCGCCCACAGGGGGAGCTCTGCTCAGCTACAAACCAGGCTGACGGTTGCCAGTACAGCAGTGGTGGTGGGAGCCTCTCCCGCCTCCTCAGCAGCGCTAAGGATGTCCCACTGCAGCTTGGGCCTGCTCCCCGCTGGCAAGTGGACATCCCCTGAGGGCTCCCGGGCTGCCAGAGGGATGTCTGACTGCCAGCTTAGGCCCAGTCCCCCGGGAATTGGGCCTAAGCCAGCAGGTGGTCATCCCCCGAGGGGTCCCAGACTGCAAGAGGGCACAGGCCAGGCTGAGGGACCCCCCCGAGTGCACAAATTTTTGTGCACCGGGCCTCTAGTATATATATAGTCTTGGACAAAAATAGTGCCCAAATGCAAACTTTGTAACAGGGTTAGGGACCTGTGTTGTGGACACAGCCAGGATCGGGCTGCTCTGCCATTTCCCCATAGGACTATAGGCCTTGGGCAGGTTAGTTGATGGCCCAAGCCTTTGTCTCCTTACCTGCCCAGTGGCTGTGTGCACAAAGAGCCAGGAGCAGAGCCTGGGCCACTCTTTATTGCAGATTTGGTCGTGGTATGTGTGTGGAGAGCATCACTCACTTCTCACTTATCACAGCTTGTCTGGTTCTAGAACATCAGCTTCTGTGTCCTTTCTTTTGGGCTGTGCTCTCACGTGGCTGAATGACCATGCGGATGCAACCCAGTTGGTCTTTGGAGGGGTTTGGAGGGGAAGTGTCTGTGCGGCCACGCCACACCCTGTGCCCCATCTGTGACAGGTGTGCTGTGGGTGTGTGTCCTGTCACACAGACAGCCCCGGCTTGCCCTCTGTTCCAGGTTCACTAAATGAAGGCCAGGGAGTGTCATCATTGCGGTCACCAGCAGAGCTCATGGGTGTGTGATGGTCCATGTGGTTGATACCCTTGGTGCTGCAGGCACCCTGCTCTGTGCTCTGACAGGAGGAAAGAGCTGCCCAGAAAGAGTTGTCCTGGCTCAGCCCCCACCCTGGTCTTTAAACTGATGCCAGTCTTTTTCACTCCAGGGTTCTTCCCCGGGAGCTCCCAGGGCTGTGACGCCTTCCTTCGGCACAAGATGACCCTCATCTCACCCATCATCCTCAAGAAGTATGGGATCCCATTCAGCCGGGTAAGTAGGGGCTGCTCTAGGAGGGGTTTCTGGCCCAGGTGATCACAAACACCCCAGGAAACTGGCTTTTTAACCCTTAAGAAGGTTCTAGAACAGCCGTGGGCAAACTACGGCCTGCGGGCCGGATATGGCCCGTTTGAAATGAATAAAACTAAAAAAAAAAAAGACCGTCCCCTTTTATGTAATGATGTTTACTTTGAATTTATATTAGTTCACACAAACACTCCATCCATGCTTTTGTTCCGGCCCTCCGGTCCAGTTTAAGAACCCATTGTGGCCCTCGAGTCAAAAAGTTTGCCCACCCCTGTTCTAGAACAAGGGCAAGCCAGGGGAGGAGGACCCTATGGGAGCCTGGGTTCTGAAGGTTTCACCAGAGGAGTGATTTGTCAAGTCTGGTGGCAAATTCTGTGATCAGACCTTCATGCTTCACTCTCACCTGAGTGTCAGCCAGTGGGAAATTGCTTCTGATATTTCAGTCTAACTGCCGGCAGCATTAGTGCTCGGATCCGGGCTTCATTCTTTCTGTTGGGGCCACAACCAGGAAGCGACTTCCAGCCACTGCTTCATTAGGTTCATCAGGTTGCAGGGTTTTTGATTTGAGAAATGCAGGTTCGCATTTTTCTCTTCTCTCTGTGTTCGGTCAGAACACCTTTTGTTACCAGGAACCTCATGAACAGATCACAGCATCGCTCATGGAAGTGAGAAGTACTTGCCCCCCTGTGGTTTGTTAAGAACATTCTCCAAAGTGGTGCTTCCTGGTCAGGGATGCAGAAGTTGGCTGGCAGGACTCACTTTTCCCTCTGAGGCCAGCAGGGTGAGGACCCTTGTCTCTGGGCTCTGATGGATGCCCGTCAGGGTACGATGTGAATCCCTGATCTGAATTCCTGGTGGCCTTCAAAGGAGTGACTCCCACACTCCACTTATAAATCTCTTAATGGTATTTACTTCTAGAAGAAAGCACAGATCAATAGCAAGCTTTTTAATAATTAAAAGTGTGTGTTTCTGGAATCTGTCATTGACATCCTCATTTATTCTGTGCCAGCTTGCACAAGAAACCAAATTCCAGGCTTTCCCCATGACTGGCGTTTGGGGCTGGCACTGCTTATTACTTTGCCACCCTGTCTGTCCATCATCCCCAGTGCCTTCTAACTTACTGTCGGGATCATGTTGACGCCGGTGGCACAGAGGACAGACACTGTGGGCTTGAAATGAAGCCTCTGGGACATAGATTTCTGACAGGAACATAATCTTCTTGTCGTCCTGAGTGCCTCTTCTGTTCTAGGCCTTGATTCATGGTGGGGATCAGGCCCCAAAGTCCGCCCGAGCCTGGAGTGGAGGTGCCTCCCCCACACCTGGGGTGTTGAGCTTAGCATCCCGAGGACCCTGCTAAGCCCCCAGAAGGCTCTGTGCTCCCACCACAGGGTGCCATGCCCTGGTGGAGAGAAGGGGAGTGTGCAAGTTGGCGGTGGAAGAAAAGTGCGACGGCACCTTCCAGGGTCAGCGTAAATAAAATAAGAAAATTAGTAATTGCATTTAAAAAAATCAAAGCTCTAAATCCTGCTGCAGAAGCAGCCCAGAGAACCCTTGCTGTGGATGGGGTAGCTAGGACCTTGGGGACCCGTGAGTGTTCTCTCCCCCCATCTCCTGCTCCATGCTTCATTCCCTGCTCTCGGCTGTCACTTGGACAGGAATTTAAAAATATAACTTAATGCACACTGACTTTCCTTGATTGGTGCAATTCATTATTTGAAAAGAAAAATATCTCAGTGTTCTGAAGGGCTGGCTTTGCTCCAGGCTGTGTCAGTTCTGATTGATTTTTGACTCTGTGGGAAGTCTCACCCCCCCTTCTTGCTGCCCATTCTCCCCACACCAGGGTTTGATGTCTCACTGGTACTTAAATGAATCCAGTGATTTCTGCTCCTCTCTCTGGGGGAATAAGTAAAGATCAGCAGGCCTGAGAACGCCGACAAATCAACAATAAAAAGATGAACCATGAGATAAATAGAGAGGGGTGAAAGAAAGGCTTGAACAGACTTTGCAGAAGTTTGCACAAACCGACATGGTGTGACATTCTGTGGATTTCGCAGAAAGATGACCAAATCAAGGAGATCCCACTGCACATGCCCAAATGCTGAGAGGGGAGCACAAGGAACTCTCACTCACCACCATTGGGGGTGCAAATGGGCAGCCACTGTCGAAAAACAGCAGTTTCTTGGAGATGTGGCCATGCACCTGACTTGAGACCCTGAAACACCCCCCCCCCCCCCCCCCCGCACTCTGTTTATTCAAAAGAAATGCAAACACGTGCTGCAAGGAGACTGGCCCAGCAACTCTATTCACCAGAGTCCCAAAGTCTGTACACAGGAGAATGGGTAATAGTGACACATCTCATGATAGAATTCCCTTTGGAAGACTCATGTGCACACGCACTGAATGACTCTCGAAGAGCAAAGAGCCAGACGCAGGAGTACAGACCGTCTGATTCCATGAAATCCTAGAGAGAAACATAATCCGTGGTGGCAGAAAGCACACTGGTGCGAATGTACTGGGGTCCTTCAGTTCCCACGGTACCAGAAATGGTCTCTTTCTGTCTGGGGTGGTGGTTACTCAGACTCTGCACAACCTGTGGTCTATGCCTTCTACTGACTGTACAAATCAAGGAATAGATAGGCCCGACTTCAGAGACAGTTTCTCCCAGGCAACTATGGATTAGGCCAGCAGGCCCACTTCACGAGTCCTGGGGAGTGGTCAGTGTGGTCATGGAAAGTGTCCCCTCCCTGGATGGGGGGATGTGGCTGCAGCCCCGCCCCCCCCCCCCCCCCCATTTTCCTTCGGGCTTTCAGATGGTGGTTTCAGAAGCATCAATCTGGAGGCATTGTGCGCCCCATCCTGTCAGTCATGCCCAGCTGCTAGTTTTAGAGTCTGTTTCAGTGTCTGGTTGTCCAGACTATTTGAGTAGATGGAGAAACATCAGCCCTCTCTTCGGAGCTCTGACCTTGACATTGTTTTCTTCCACATGCTGATGTGTTTCTTTGGTCTCTTTGACATCATCTAGAAGGACCCACCTCTTGGAATAAAAAGGACAGATTCTGTGCTTATGATGGCGAGGGGACTTAGGTTATTTTAGGGCAAGGACAATGTACTGCGTGTACACCTGTCCTGTGCTCAGAGGTTCTACAGCTGCCATCAGCGCCGTCTGCCCCTGATGTATGAGAACATCTCACAGTGGACAGGAGGTGTGACATGGCCACCTCCCTCCAAAACTGGAGACCCCCTCCTCAACAAAATGGAGAAGTGCCTAGATTGGTAAATTCCATTGACTCCCAGAGTCAGGCTCTCTAGCACTTGTTGGGAACTCCTTGAGCCCACATCCTCCTTCTGTGCTCCTTGGTGGCTCCCGGTGGCCTTCGCCACCAGCCTGTCCCTGCTCTAGGCCAGGCGTTGCTTCTGGCAGGTGAGCCATGCATGAAATCCTCTTCCTTCTAATTCTGGTCCTCACCCTCACCTGTCAGCCTCCCCTCACCTGTTGGACTCTTTTTCCTCAGATCACGCAGGAAGCTGGGGAGTTCATGATCACCTTTCCTTACGGCTACCATGCTGGCTTCAACCACGGATTCAATTGTGCTGAGTCGACCAATTTTGCTACCTTGCGATGGATTGATTACGGCAAGGTGGCCACTCAGGTAAGTGTCCTCAAATGCCGTGAAAGACTAAAAAGGGGCCCAGTCCCTTCCAGCCACCTCCCTTGGGCCTAGGTCTATGCACCCGCTGGCTGGGAGCCTAAACTTTCCATCAAGGTCTGTTTCTGAGATCATAGTGAACTTGTTCCCGGAACATTTGTCACCTGGAGGAATGGGGACAAGGGATGAGTGGGATGGGTGTACATGCGGCAAATAGGGCCTGGGCAGGCCTAGGGTCAGGGGCCCCCATCTCCTGGCAGACCCCACACTCTCTGGGCCTGAGGGCTGCCTGCTGCATTGCTCCCCTGCAGGATACTGAAAGGTGAGGAGACTCCTTTGATTTACTCCCCCCCCCCCCCCCCCCCCAGTAATTTGCCATTCCTGGTCTCTAAGCGTGGATTATTGGCCAGAAGATGTGACATCTAAACTGAGTGCTTGTTCTCAGATTCCCTGAGCTCTGAGTGCGTCTGTCTTTGTGGTTTTGATTGACAACATGGAGGGTGCTATGGCAAGTCCATGGAGTTGCTGGCTGTGAGACTGGGTCATGCCTGCTTCATCTCCTTCCTCTTGCTTGTCTCCTGTGGAGGCTTAAAGTGGCTTTGGAGATCCAGGTGACAAGATGCACACAGGACTAATGAACTGCAGGCCTACCCAGTCAGCTGGGGGATGGTGGAATCTTGGAGGGAGAAGCAGGAAGGAGGACTGTTGGGCCGGCAGCAGGCCCAGCCCTTTCCCAGCTGCCAGTACCAGGAGCCTTCCTCCCAGGACTGTTACTGCAGCCCTCAATGCCTGTCCCGTCTGCCACAGAGGAAGACGGCAGGCAGGCTTCTCCCATCAGGCTGGACTCAGGTAGATCTTCCCCAGCTCATGGGTTTTAGCCCGATGGCCCTCTCTCTCCATGGCAAAGGCAGGTCCAGCCACTTGTGGGCATCTTGCACTGGCGCTGGGGCACATGGAACAGAAGCTCCTCCGGCTAGCCTCATACAGGATGAAACGGAGCATTTCCTGCCAGCCTTCCACATTGGAGCCTGGGGTTTCTCTGCACAATCGCTTAGTTGTTCCCAGTCAAGGCCCAGGGTCAGGACAAATGGTGGAGTCAGTGTGGAGGAAGTGTACCCGGGCCCTATCCCCTGACTCATGTAGCATTTTCTAGACTCAGACCTTTGCAAAGAGGGCCTACCAGTGGTTCTCAACCTCCCTAATGCCGCGACCCTTTAATACAGTTCCTCATGTTGTGGTGACCCCCAACCATAAAATTATTTTCGTTGCTACTTCATAACTGTAATTTTGCTACTGTTATGAATCGTAATGTAAATATCTGATATGCAGGATGTATTTTCATTGTTTGCGACCCACAGGTTGAGAACCGCTGGCTCTAATCAGTGATGTTCAGACCATGGTCAGTGGCCACACGCAGGTGTGGCGGCCTTGAGATGTGGCCCATTTGCATGGAGATGAGCTGTGCATATAACACATGTACAGTGTCTAACAAAGAAGAGGAAATATCTCACCAAAAATCTGTTTATATTGGTTATGTAGACTGATACTTTTGCATAGCTTAGTCAGGTTATACAGAATATTTCATTAAAGTGAATGTCACCTGTTTCTTTTCACTTTTTGAATGTGGCGACAGAAACATTGAGGTTACAAAGGTGGCTTGTGTTCTATTTCTATTGGGCAGTGTTGTTCTAAACAAATGCGCTAGCCTTTATTTTTCTAATTATCTATTTCTCTAGCTTTACTATTTCAGTGCAGTTTAGAAAAGGAAATGGGCTTTGTAGTAAGGAAGATGGGGGAGGTGCTCCCAGGATTTGGAAGCATTGGGCTTTTTATACTTAAGTCAGAAAATCATGATGGGATTGTCACAGGTGGGGACTCTGGGTGTCACTAAAAGAGGAGACATCTAATCGTCAGGATCTGCCTGTTTGATGTGGGGCGTGTGGTTTGGTTGTTTGCATTGCATGGTAAGACTCGAGGAGGAGAGAATCCTCACGGCCTGTGTGCGCCGTGACCTGCCGCAGTGGGAGCTGCGGTGGAGCCCAGAACCCGGGGCCAGGCTTTTCCTGGAGCGGCTGTCAGAGCCGAAACTGAGCGGGGCCGGGGACTGCCTAGATATTAATTGCTACTTTAGGTTCAGCCATGTGTTCACAAGCGACATTTGGGAAGTACAGCCTTAGATTGGGCCTCCACGCTTACATTGCCAGGCAGCGTAGCGTGAAATTACTGAACAAGTGGCACTTGGTGCTCAGAGCAAGCCGGGGTTCAAGGTGAGCGTTCAGGAGCCACGCGGGGCTCCCCCCGAAGAGCTGGCTGAGCTGCCCAGGCCCCTGAGGCAGGAAGGCAAGGGGTTCAGCCAGGAAATGACCATTGGCCACTGGGCATCTGTGCATGGCAGTCCTGGATGCCACCCCACAGTCTTTGGGGTGACAGTTCCTGACTCTTGCAAGCTCTACTGCCCCCATAACTAGTCAAAGCTGCAGAGTCCACCGAAGTGCTTGGCCTTGCTGATAAAAAGCTAAGGCATGTCAGAGGCAGGCCCAGGGAGAGGCAGGGCAATCATTCAGGTCAGATGGCGCACGGGGACCTGCGGGTCCTCAGCCAGATTTTTAGGGAGCGGGGAGGATCCCACAACTCCTTTTCCTGCAAGTCAGCCTGAGCTGCCCCACTCCATCTGTGTTTTGGGCCAGTTCCTTCTAGCATCTTCATCAGAACATAGCCCAGGGGAGAATTTCCGCTTCCCAGATTTTAGGGACTGTTTTACTTGTTGGTTTGTTACCTTCTTCAAGCTCCTGCCCTCTATTGTCCCTTTTCTGTCATTCTGCCTTGTGCCAGCACATTAAAAGCCAGACTCTCACACCTACCCAGTCTGTATGAGTTTCAGGTGTCTCTTTCCAGAGCAGAGGCTGCACATTGGTAGACTGACTACTTTTGTATGGGCTGCAAACTGAGAATGATTTTTACATTTTTAAAGAGTAGAGGGGGATCAAAAGAATATGCAACATGCAATTAGATGAAACTGAAATTTCACCTTCATAAGTAAAGTTTTATGGGTGCCTACCTTCGCTCAGGTGTTGACCTGTTGTCTGTGGCTGCTTTTGCCTGCAGTGGTGGAGTTGAGTAGTTGCAACAGAGGCTGGCCTGCAAAGCTGAAAATATTTGCCACTTGGTGTGGGCCTTTCCTACCAGTTCTGGCTCTAGTTACTTAGGGCTGAACAGTCACCTCCTGCACTCCCAGAGCCAAAACCACTGCCTTGGGAGGCTCCGGATGGGTCCGAGAGGGCGCCAGTAGTTGTGGCCATTCAGCAGGATATGCAAATGCTGATACCTGCAGAGCATCACCCACCCCACCTCCTGACGGCAGGGCAGAGAGGCTCCTAGGTTCCTCCCGCCATAAAGGCCTGGAGAAGAGAGCTTACAGACTGTCACCAGAGGCCCTCCGAGGGAGCTCCTTTGGGTCCCGTTTGCAGCTGAAGGCTGCCTGGGGTGTGTTCTCTCTCCACCCTCCCCCTGCAGCACAAACACAACACTGACCGGCTCTGTCCATTGTCTAGCTGAGACGGTGTTTCTCTTCCAGATGGTTTCCTTTCTGAGTCACTTGACTGACATTCACCCTCATTACCCATCTGTGCATGGGAAGAAAATGCATGGCTGCCTGTACTGCCCAGCCTCCCTGTGGTAGGGGTGTCCTGTGTGTCCCCACCTCAGGGCACTCAGGGCCTGCCTCCTTCACGGCCTGCGATCTTGGGACTACCTGCGCTTTTCTCTCTATAAAAGGGACGCCCTTTCTTGGCGCTGTATTAACATAACATGGCAAAAGACATACAAGAGCACTGTGTGTGGGACTATGCCTTCGCGAGTGTCCCCAGTCTCTCAGACTCTGGCTTGTTGGTCCAATCTAGGGTCCTTCCTCACCACAGTGGACATGTGGGGCTGTCCTGGGCACTGTGGGGGATTGTGCAGCATCTCTGGCCCCCACCCATGCCATGCCAGGAGCGCCTCCAGTCATGACAACCGCAGATGTGCTCAGACATGGCCCAGGGTCCCCTGGGGGCAGGATTAGCCCTGTCGAGACCCCTGTCTAGCTGGACTTGCAGGTTTCCTCTTTCTCTTTCCAGGCAGTGGGTGGTTGTCCAGCGGTATCTGTGGACTCTGACACTGGGGTGTCAAGCTCAGTGTAGTTTCTTTTCAGAGTCCTGCTAAGGGCATCTCCCAGGACATCGTGTTTGGGGCTTAGAGCCTCCTTGTCCTACTGAAAGTCATTTTCTCTCCTGTGTTCTGAAGCCATGGGGTTTGAGGTCTCTGAAGCAGGACAAATATCAGATATCGTGGCCAGAGATGTGAAACCTCACTTAACAGACCACCCCCTCAGTGAGCTTGGATAAAGACATCCCCCTACCCCAGTCTCCACTCCCCACCCCCATTCCAGGGATCGTGGGTTTGATTAGTCTCATGTGCTTCTCTTCTCTAGTGGGGAGGCTGGGCCAACAGGGAGAGTTGTGGGAACGAAACAAGGACTCCACAGAGCACCGCTTTGCCTTATCCCTAGGAGTTGTTCCTCTTTGAGGAACTAGATGTTAGAGCGAGTGCCCCTCCCCATTCTGGGATTCCAGCGTTTTTTCAAACCTGCAAATCACCCCCCCCCCCCCCCCCCCACCCCCACACACACACCAGTGAATAGGTGACATCCACCCCCAGGGACCCATTGGCTGCAAGAACAGGGAACAGTGAGCCGACGTTTAATTTCTTCTGGATGGAGGTTCTTTTAGCCAAATGCACTCAAACCCAGTGCCTAGCAGCTCCTGCAAAAACCCACCCTAATCAGAGGGCGGGCTCTTCTTCCTCACAGTTTCTGGACCACAAGTTTCCATCACTGCTGCACTTCCCAGGCTGTTGTGGAGCGTGGGTGGTGCTGGGCCTCCATCTGGAGATCTATGAGGAAAACTGCCCTGCCGAATCATCGTGGACAGTAAATAGCTAGGGTTCCTCAGAGACTCAGCCCCAAG